TGCCGGTAAGTTTAATATAATATTAATAATAATATTAATTTTATGTATTTCTTTGTATTGTGTAAACTTAACGACTTTGATTTTAAACCAATTTGTAATAAATCATCCAAAACTTTTGAAAAACTTAAAATCAGAGGTCAGACATATATTTATGTGTTAGCGATATTTCACCCTTTTTTTAGTGAAATATTGAAAGTGTACCTGATTATATAAATATTATTAACATATGCCTCAAAAAGATACGACTCATGATAACGAGACGTATTTCAGATATTCAGGTTTTGAGACAAATTGCTCTTAAGAAAATATATATTTGTCCTAAATTTCTGTGTAAACATGTTTGCGTTGTGTTTATTATTTGTAATAAGTACTGTAATAATTAAATGAAGTACTTGACACTAATCTTAGAAAAGTTTAGTGAACTCCAGTTTCAATTTTTTTTTAATTCTTAAGCACCATAAATCGTTTATTTATTAATTATTTTGTAAAACTATTGTTGACCTATTCGTGCACAAGTTATTTCATTTTATTGAACTTACTAACAACATCACAGTATTTCCTTTTAGGTGGAATAACCGGTGGTATAGAAATATGTATAACATTTCCCACTGAATATGTGAAAACGCAACTTCAACTGGATGAAAAGGGTGCACAAAAAAAGTACTCTGGTATCTGGGACTGCTGTACAAAGACTGTTAAAAATCACGGCTTTTTCGGTTTATATAGAGGATTAAGTGTACTTTTATATGGATCTATCCCTAAAAGCGCAGTGAGGTAATAAAGTCATAATTTGGTTTAAGCTTTTGAAGCGATTTATTGACCGCGAGGTGTTTTTTTGAAAACTGCGACCTCAAAGTTCGCAGAGAAACACTTTGCGTTCCATTTTTGCAATCCATTATTTTTATTTTCACCATTTTCGTTTGTCCATACAGATTTGGGGCCTTTGAAACGTTTAAGAACCAAATGAAAGATGAAAAAGGTAATTTAACACCAGTTGGTCGTCTTCTGTGTGGTCTTGGAGCTGGTGTTAGTGAAGCAATCTTCGCTGTTACCCCAATGGAGACGGTCAAAGTCAAATTTATTAACGACCAACGAAGCGGTAACCCAAGATACAAAGGATTCTTCCACGGGGTAGGAATGATAGTCAGAGAACAAGGGTTGGGCGGTGTTTACAAAGGTTTAACGGCGACAATAATGAAGCAAGGTTCAAACCAAGCCATCAGGTTTTATGTAATGGAAACTTTGAAGGATTGGTATAGGGAAGGAGACCCTAACAAGCCCGTTCCTAAATACGTTGTTGGTGCCATGGGAGCTGTAGCAGGTACCATTTTTAAAAATATTTCTTGGGGTGTCATATTCCAACGGTTTTCCTTTCGCTCTTCATTTTTTCCCTCCATCTTCCTTCATTCTTTTTAAGAATTACTATTGATTATATAATTATGATTAATCATATTTTATAGGAGCTGCTTCCGTATATGGAAACACACCAATAGACGTGGTAAAAACAAGAATGCAAGGTCTCGAAGCACACAAATATAAAAATACAGCAGACTGTGCCCTGCAGATCTGGAAGAACGAAGGACCTTTTGCCTTTTATAAAGGCACCGTCCCAAGACTTAGTCGTGTCTGTTTAGATGTTGCAATAACCTTTATGATTTACGACAGTTTCATGGAATTATTCAACAAGGTTTGGCCTTAATGTTAATCCAAACCACCTAACAAAATTCTGGATAGCATGAAAAAAAGCAGGAATTTAAATTTTCGAAATGGGTAGTATAAGTTTGCGAAGATGTTACAGGTGGTTCCCCTACGTGCCATCCGCGTATCAACGAGCAACAAGTCATTTTTCAATGAACCTTTGTAATATTTTTTAAAAACTTTTTATATAAGGTGATTTTTTAGCAATTTTAATCTTTTGAGGCTGTAAAATGTTCACTGTACCTCTACCATGATCTTTTTTAAATCGTGTACATGTTTCAAGTTTTAAGTTCTATTTTTATACTGTCGACTGCCAAACTACTTTATTTTAATGCCAAATTTTATATCTCAATCATGCATTTTCTCTTTTAGATTTTTATTATGTTATTTGCAAAAATTGTTTGCGTGAAATATTGTTGGTAATTGTATATTAGCGCACCGTACTCATTGCATTGCATAAACATTCCATTATTATTTCTTTTTCTATTCTCATTTGCTTTTGCATTATTTTCAGTGTCATTAAATGGTACAAATAAAAATTAAAGAAAATTCAAAAATGAAAACCATTTTTAATACATACCTACGTTTTTGTTTTTAATATGTAGGTAATTACGAAATTATTTTTCATTAAGTAGCATTTGTAGGTACTTAAATTTTATGTTCGTTAAAGTACTTTGGATGGGAAAATAAACTATTTTAATTAACGTTTTCTTTTTCTACGAGTGAATCTACTGCTAAGATGACATTGTCAAAATAAAATGACATAGTTATCACATACTAATCGTATGTTCTGTAGAATTTAATGTCCTAAAATGGCCCCAGGCCCCCCTTTTACGCGCGAATGGTTAAACGACAACAATTGTGCGGCAGCAGCTGCTCCGCCAAAGAAAGGCTTGTCTGGCATAATTGCTGGTAACTTCATCCCTTCTATAGTTTTTTGTTTTGTGGAAAAGGGGAAGTCTTGGAAAGACACCCAGCCGTCTGTACGACTGGGTAGTGGCGGATTGCCTCTGGGGAGGACCTGCCAAAACTAAAGCCCCTCTACCCTCTGGTCGTATAGGACCATTTCCTTTAGTTAATTAAGACAATAATTACTTTTCAAGGGGGTATAACCGGTGCGGCAGATACGTTAATAACTTATCCAACTGAATACATAAAAACGCAATTGCAACTAGACAGCAAATCAAGCACCAAACATTATAATGGCATGATAGATTGTATAATTAAAACTTATAAACATTTCGGTATTCTTGGTTTCTACAGAGGTCTTACAGTACTTTTAATTGGAGCGGTACCAAAAAGTGCAGTACGGTAATCAATACATATTTAATTAATATCTTACTGGTCATAATTCACAACCACTAAGTAATTAAATGTTAAATTAACACTTGTTTAAGAGCTTGCGTTTGATTCCTTAAAGGTTTGGAACGTTCGAAATTTTAAAAGAGCGCAGTACCATGAGAGACGAAAGGGGTAACTTGACCGGTGGTGGACGTGTATTATGCGGACTGGGAGCAGGAATATCTGAAGGAATCTTGGTAATAACACCCATGGAAACACTTAAGGTAAAATTCATCGACGACAGTCGTAAAAAGAATCCAAGGTTCAAAGGATACCTTCATGGCATAAGACTTATTATAAAAGAAGAGGGGGTCTCAGGAATTTACAAGGGCTTGCTACCAACTGTAATAAAGCAAGGATCTAACCAAGCGATCAGATGGTATACGGTAGAAACACTGAAATTAATGTACAAAGGAGATAACCTCGCCTTACCAATACCAGCATACATATCTGGGCTAATTGGGGTGATAGCAGGTATTATTCACAAGATATTTAATAAAATAAACAGGAGATAGTAATAATTAATAAGTTTTAATTGCCTACCTGGCCAATTAAATGGGACTGCCTAGAAAGTGAATGCAAGAGGAATAAATAGTCTTAATAACAACATAAATATGTTATTTTGAATCATGCATAATGACCAACATTTAATCTTAATCGTTAATCTCCCTAGAATTTTCTTTTCTATATCAGAACTCTAATTTAAAGTGAATTTGAAAAATACTTGAATTACAGGGGTGGCTTCTGTATACGCTAACACCCCAGTTGATGTCGTTAAAACTAGAATGCAAGGACTTGATGCTAAAAAGTATAAAGGAACACTAGATTGCATTGTAAAAATTTGGAAAGAAGAAGGTCCTTTTGCATTTTACAAAGGGACCATTCCTAGATTAGGAAGAGTTTGTTTAGATGTTGGGATGTCTTACGTCATATTTGACAGTTTAATGAAATTACTCACTTAATGAACTACTTTAAACAGCTTTGGTATCTGGATTAATTAAAAATAGATTAAGTGATATTATATTGTACTTTAAGAAAAAAATATCAGAGCTATTAATAAAAGAAAAAGAAGTCAATTATATAAGCATATTGTATATTCATTTTTATTCACCACGATTTTACGAAAAAAAATATATTCACTGTTGAAATATATACCATATAAAAATGCCTACAAAAGAATTTAAAGGGATTTTCGTCCTTCATTTAAACCTAAAGCTGATAAGTCCACATGAATCATTTTTAATAAATGAAAGAGGAATATAAACTTTAATTTGTCAAATCAAAGGTAATGAATAGATTTGTGTCACGAGCATTACTACCAATGATCTCAATTCATGCATTAAATAGAATAGACAGTAGAGTCGGATTGTAAAAAATTAGATCTAAACATGCAAATCGCGCGTGGACTAGGAACGGACCGCAAAATGCATTCGGAGTCCTTTTCTTTCCACATCCGCCGAATGCCGGCCGTTTGCAAGTTTAGGTCTTCTTAATAATTAGCCCTAAAAAAATTAAACATTTTTTTTCGTCATGTTCCCCGGCCCTAATGAAATTACCAACCGGGAGTGGTGTTCGCCAATCGGCGTATTCGTCGCGTATTTCGATCTTGATCCCTGATCTTCTTCTCCATCTCGGCATCAGTCAAAGTTTCTAAGAAGGGAGACCATTGGTCAGACTCACTTGGAGGCCGGAACGGCACCTGCACAGGTAATTTTTAATAACATCCATTTAACATAACAACTAACAGTAAAAAAGAAAACAGAATGGAATTATTTACCTCTATTGTTGGTAAGGGAGCTTCACTGAAGGCGTAAGTTCTTTGATGCCATGAAAGTTGCCCCCTAATAGAATAAGCGATTGCAGTAACAAATTCGCCTCCCAGACCCAATTCTGAACACAACTTTAAAGCAAATTCTTCTGGATTATTATCCTTTTCAGACATATCCCATTCAACCTAAAGGATATTAAATCAAAAATTATATTTTATAGACATCCCAAATAAAAGAAAAAAATTATTTTTTAATAACTCACCTGATCAACTAATGAAGTATTTCCCACGTGTATATTTAATTTGATTATGACCCTCTGGTCGCAGGAATCTTCCAAGATTCCTTGATTTTCTCCAGGAAACGCTTCTAACTGTTGTCTAATGGATTGTGCAATAGCAGGAACAAATGTCATTGGATTTAGATCTAGATCGTCACATAAAACCTCGGCAAACTGTTCTGGTGTTATTAAACTTTCTAAAAATGAACATAATGTCAACATATACAAGGTATTATAAAAAGTGTATTTTTTACCCAAAAAAATAAACTATTAGAAAACAAAATAGCTGCATTACTTTTCTAGATTTTTTACCCAAAGCATATCTATTTTATTTGATTTATTTATTTTTTTAATTCTACTTAAGCATTACCCAATTTAGAATATTAAACTGGATGGTCTACAATAAATTACTTACAGACCACCCTATACACAGTATTTTACAGTAAAACAAAGACAACACTTTTAATGACAATGTAAACAAATTATTTCATAAAAATACCAAAACGAGTACATAAACAAATTTGTCATGCACTAACATACTTTCATGCATTAAAATATTAATTGTTCACTCACGTTCTTCAGTATGTGTCGGTGCCTTTTGTTATATATGTATATGTATAAAATTATTGTTCTACGCTAAACGAAGCATAAATGGTCCAGTCTTTAAAGTTATTACCTTGACGCAATTTTTAAGGAGAAAGTTTTGATTGAGAAGTACCAAAATTGAGTATATTACACCATTCACAATCTGACAACTTGTAACTTATTATTTAATTAACAAATTAGGCAAAAAGTTTCCTTATTCATAATTCTTTTCAAAGTAATTGTAGATAGAACAAGAAACTTTTAGAAATCACAAGTGTTTAATTTTTAATTTTACTATAAATTTCCACCAAGCAGATTCAATTAATCATAATTAATTTGTATATAGACCACACTATATTCTGGTACATCTGAACTAAACATTTCAGTAAAATCAAAATTGTGCCAAGTACTTTGGACAGAAAAACCCGAAGAAATTAACAAAACAAGGAATTGTGTGATATAATAAGAATAGCAGTAGTGATGAAAAATTGCAACAAAACGCCTAACTCTGTAATAGTTTCTTTTTACTAAGGATTTTTCATTGGCTTATTTATTTCATAATCTATAGATAACTCAAAAAAATATTTTAATTGAAAACAAACATGTTAAATTAAAGAAAAATGTGTCAATCAAGCTAAAAAGCACAGGCTAATAACTGTTTACCATTTTTATTCCATGTAAATGTATCCCTTAGTTTTTGTCCTTCAATTTCCATGTCTAATCTAATAGGGACTAAGACTTCACTTTGTGAAGCATTCTCAATGTTTGTCTGGGGATCAGTATCATCAAAACAAAATGGGAATGTTCTAACCTGCAATGTAATTTAAGAAAATATTACCCTTCTATTTACCTTTTAATAAAAAATATATACCTTCTTGGTAGCAACCCTATTACGATTAATAGGTGTGGCTTGGGGTACAGCATCCAAATGGCTAGAATTTGGTAGTGAAGGAACCCAAGACATAGATTTCTTAGTTTTTGACTCCCTTGGCAATGGTGGATCAGAGGTATGAATACTTACAGCCTTATACCTTAAAAAAAATAAAAATTATGACTCATAGATTTTTGTGGCAATTCCAATCTTACTTTTCATCGTTTCCTTCAATTATATCTTCAACTTCAGTTGCTTTTAAAAGAGAAACACTACTGGCTAACACATGCTGACTTAAACCAAGTTCAATGAGCTTCTTTCGTTCTTCATTTGTAATAGTTCTCCTGTACATTCCAGGATACTTTTTATATAAGGAACCTCGGAAGAGGCGTAAGTAGTTTCCCACCTTCGAGCATTTGAGATAAATTATCATACAAAAATATTGTTTATGTTATTTCTTTTCTTACTTCTGATCCAACACAGTAATACTCTCCATTTTCTTCGAGTTGAAAGCTAATGGGTTTATCTCCATAAGTTCTTATTGCCATTTTATCTCAAAAAATTATCTGGATTATAATGCTGTTGGAAAGAAACTGACAATTGTATTTTTTTGTGTCTTTTTTGTAAATTATTTGTAAAATATCAACCATATATCACCAAAACCAAACTTTTATCTTCTTCTTCTTGTCAACTTGTCAAATGTTAACTCACAGATAAATGCATCATAGAAAAGTTATTCATGCACATCTTAAGCAGATATTCATTCAGCCCTCAGTTAGCACTTGCTACCAATTTTATAGCACGGGTTTAGGGAGATCATCCTAAATTCTAGAATAATATTATATTCATTAAGATTTTAGGTTGCAATAAAACATAAAACAACCACAATACTACGAATACTTGCTTAGTAAATGTAAAGTTTCATTTAATAAAATTTAAAACATTTAAAAGCATTTCTGTTCTCATTATTACGTGTATTTGTGCCCTAACACTGTGTTATTAAAAACATAATAATAAATAATGAAATTATTGTTTATTTGATATGATTGTACGTCTACTTATGTAAGGAAAAATAAAAACGCATTTCAGTGTATAATTTATTGTTTAACTTTACGTAAATTCGTGTTTTTTACAACAAGGCATAAAACTAAAAATACCATATAAAAATTCACTAAGTAAAAGGAAACTCATCATTGCATCTAAAATATATTCCAATTTCAAAACTGGAGTTTGTAATAGAAAAACGTAGACTAAACCACATATTGAAGTAGCAACAAAAATTACTGCAACAAATACTGACCATCCTGTAAAAAAACACCAAATATGTTTTAAAAATATGTAATATTATTCTTATTCTTATTCAACATAACTAACTTAACATTTCCTTACTATATGAAACATTTTGAAACTCAATAGTGGTTAATGTTAACTATTAATGTAAAAATTCATCTTTAATTTGTATTCACTATAAATTATTTCAACTTAATGAAGAAAAATTGTTACTGTTGTTACATCCTCGTCGGGAATCGAACCCGGGACCTTACGACTAACCGTATTTATTAGGTCACATATTCGTTTTAATGTATATTTATTAATACTATATGGAATACTTTGAAACTCAATAGTGGTTAATAGTAAATATTAATGTGAAAATTCAACTTTAATTCTTATCCATTATAAATTGCCTGCAGCAGCTTAGTGGTCAGAGCCAAAGGCCCCGGGTTCGATTCCCGGCGATGATGTGGCAACAGCAACAATTTTTATTCATTAACTTGAGGTAATTTATGGTAGATAAGAATTAAAGATGAATTTTTACATTAATATTTAACATTTTCTTTTTATTTAAAAATTATCAATCAAGCAGAAAAAATTCCCNTTTTCTTTTAATATTATTATTTTTTTATGCATTTTTAAGCATTTAAAAGCTTTTTATATTGTACCATGATATTTTTTTTGTAAGCCTAACATAATATTTCGTAAAGTTTATATTTAAATCTACTAACTGTCTCTTTACCGGTATGTTATAACACGTAATCTCCTGGCAAACATCAGTTCATTAAGGATCCCAGCAATGTTAAAATAAATCATGTGGATCATTCTTTCATCGCCACGTTTTAAATTAGGATGAGCTGCAATGTTTGGAAACAAGATAACTTTTAGCAACATTACCGATACACAAATAAAAAGGCCAGGCGAAGTTTTAAACATTGTTTTTACAAGTAAAAGCCAGTCATTCGATTTACATTTTAAAATAACACGCAACTAAAAGGATAAAAATGTTTCTTTGATTAAATATACCCAAATTCTTGGATACTTTTAAATGTTTCTTAGAAACAAAAATAATTATAGACAGTAAAATTGTCCACCGTTGTATTTGAAATGTTAATTTGTTATGATAAGATATGCAGACCATCAGTAAAACGTAAATCATATCTTTGTCGGCATTTTTTTTATTAATTATATTAAAAGGTATTTTTTAAAAGATGATGATTGCTTACAATAAAGTTCGATTTTCAATCGCAATAAGATAAATAACTTAACAAAGCTCTTGTTTCTACAAGAGTACCGGTGCGTAAAGCCAGCGGGGGTCCGAGTTCGATTCCCGGCGAGGGCGAAAGCAGCAAAAAAAATATTTTTAACTTGAGGTAATCTGTAGTGAGATGAAATTAGGTTGATTTTTCATAATTTCTAGAATTCGTTCATACTAGTGGAAAACCCTGATTGTATTGGAAATGGATCCACCTATTTTCTAAAGGCCTACATAAAATTAATAATAATAAGAACATTTTGTTCTCACCTTTATGTTGCTCCCTTAGCCTCTTGAACAAAAAAATTTTTAACAGTTCAGAGACGAGTAGCCCCAATTGTACAAGGGCGTCCGTTCCAATGTACGGGGTGGGATATTTTTTACTCAGGTACTTCGCGAGCAACATCATTATATTGCAAAAACTGAACACAGGGAAATAATACAAATTCACATACATCAGGACATCGAAAATCAGCAAGGCATCCATATCATCAATATATTTACGTATTTATTATTATCTATCTAGTACCTATTAATTTAGTTGCAAATGTTTCGTGACAACAAAGTCTTAATTTAAAAAAGTATTAAAATATCTTTTTGTGCTGTATTCGTAAATCACATTATTATAAAAGAGTTCTCAAGTGTAATGGCGTGTTTTTGGTTCAATTCATTTGTATCATTGCACACCCGGTATATATATACCTTTATTAGTCTTTTGTCAATTGTATAAGAATTTAATAAATTTAAATTTACCTATTTTATTAAATAATTTCTTGTTGTATAAGTGTATGTTGTAAAAATTGGTGATATTAATTTCATAAGAACATTTAATTTGGGTGTGTGCTATATTACAATATTATAAATAGTATTAAGTGTTTTAGTAATTTAAATTGTTTAAATTGGAAAGATAAAAACGTATGTAACTACTAATGGAATAATGATCACAATAATTAATATGTATCGTTGGATTTCCTGAAAGTGAAACAAATAAATAATATTAGAAAATTGATAGATAAATACTAAGTACACAAAATCTAACTTCGAAATTTACCATCCGAAGTTTACCTTCATAATCAATATTATTTTTATAATTTTCTGTATTGTTTTGCAAATTAACAATAAATAATTATTTTGTCTTTAAGTATATAGGTCCTTACTAAAATATTTATAAAAAAAATTTTAGAAACTAACTAATTTAGTCACTTACGTAAATATCGAAAGTTTGTGTGTTGAAATTAAGGACTAATAATTAATTTCCTAGAGAAATTAGGAAAATATTGAAATAAAAGCCTACACTAAAGACATTAGAAAAAAATTGCATAGTTTTGTAGCTTTGCAAAAAAATCTTTACGTTTATTTCTAAAATCTTCATCGCGGAAGACAGTTTTATTTTTACAATGGAGATTTTTTTGGATGGTATTTTGTCACCTCTAGCAATAGAAGCCAAGTTACATTTGCATAGTGCCGATATATTATTTATAGACCCATGTTGACCTGTACTTCGAAAATGATAAATAATAGCGGTTCTAGTAAAGTGGCATTTATTTTCGAAATAAATTTCTCCTAATCCGCAACAAAACATAGTTTTTCAACATCATAAAAACGATCAGACACAATGCTTCGTAATAAAATACAATGCTGAAACTTCTTCAAATCTAATTTACACGTTTTTTAATACTTATTATTACAAACTACTTCATTATAAATTATAAGTCAGAACTAATAAATAAATAAATAACGTATAAACTCTGAAAAAACAAACAGTTTAAAATTATGTAATAAGAAATTGCAAAACAAGTGAAAATTGACTGTTAAAATAAAAATTTACATTGTTAAAACAAGGTTAGAACCGTTCTTAATGTGGTGTTATAGGCGGATGATGAGGATAACGTGGGTAGAAAAGGTTAGAAATGAAGAGGCATTGGAAAGAATAGGAGAACAGAGGACTCTATGGAAGTCAATAAGAAATAGGCGAGATATGTTGGTAGGACACCTTCTCAAGCATGAAGGTCTAGTTAGAGACATATTAGAGGCAGAAACAGGAGCTAAGAGGAGTAGTGGTAGACCTACATTTTAGTTTAGCTCAGGATAGGAAAGAGTGGAGGTACGTGTCCAACCAGGCTTAGGACTGACGACCTTATGATGATGATGATGATGATGAAAATCTTGAGGATTTTTTATTTATACTAAAACCTATTGCTCTGAACCAAAATATAAAAAATAATTGCGTTCCCATTAAAGAAAACTTATAATTATCTTACCCTTTATTTTCTATATTCAGCCGCTGTCATGAAGACATCTCGCATCAATCTTATTTTCCTTTAATTTGTAGGCCAAAGGGTCCTTTAAATTTCCATATTTGATGGATTTTATTACTTATTTATTTATTTATTTAATGATTACAGTTCAACATCCATACTGCTACAGATAACGCTTCAAAAATGATAATACCAATTAAAACTGATATGGCATCTGTTACAACTATAAAACTTTTACTAGGCATATGGTTGATGATGGCGACACCTTTACCATCAATATCAATACAAAATTACCTACAAAAAATAAACAATTGTATGTGGTATAACATTAAATGTATGCATTAGTCTAAAAATAAATGTTTACCCTAGAACATTATCATAGATATTAGGTTATTACATAACGTTAAAAAATCAATGCATTATTTAGAGCCGGCGAAAGAGATTTAACCCCCTTGTGTAAAGTGAAAGGGAAAGAATAAAAGGATAAAACAATTAAATAACTGTAAAAGCATGATTTCATCTGAGTTTTAGTAAATGTTAATTATGTTTAAATTATTTTATCTATTTTCACGAAAATAATGCCGGAAAGTGCCTATTTGACATTGCACTTGAAAATTGTTAGCACCAGATGAATCTACGTACTTTTTTACATAATCTTCACTTCTTAAAGCTTATTAAATATCTTCCGTCACCTAACAATTTCACGAGCGCTTTTTCATGTTTAAATTATACTATATATTTTAACAAAATTGCAACAGAAAGTGCCTGTGTGATACCGCACTTAAAAACCGTTGACAGCATGTGATTCTACGTACTTTTTTACATAATCTTCACTTCTTAAAGCTTATTAAATATCTTCCGATTCCTAACAAGTTCACGAGCGCCTTTTCATGTTTAAATTATACCATACATTTTATCAAAATTATACTGGAAAGTACCTATTTGAGACCGCACTTGAGAACCGTTGACACCATGTGAATCGACGTACTTTTTTACATAATATTCAATTCATAAAGTTTAGTAAATATCTTCTGTCTCCTAACTATTTCACGTGCGCTTTTTCATGTTTAAATTATACCATATATTTTAACAAAATTGTATCAGAAAGTGCCTATGTGACACCGCACTTGAAAACCGTTGACACCGTGTGATTCTACGTACTTTTTTACATAATCTTCATTTCTTAAGGCTTATTAAATATCTTCCGTCTCCTAATAATTTCACGAGCGCTTTTTCATGTTTAAATTATACCATATATTTTAACAAATTATACCAGAAAGGGCCTATTCGACACCGCCCATCTACGTACTTTTTTACATAATCTTTACTTCTTAAAGCTTATTAAATATCTAACATCTTCTAATAATTTCACGAGCGCTTTTTTATGTTTAAATCATACCATATATTTTTACAAAATTGTACCAGGAAATGCCTATTTGACACCGCAGTTAAAAACCGTTGATACCATGTTATTCTACGTACTTTTTTACATAATCTTCACTTCTTAAAACTAATCAAATATCTTCCGTCTCCTAATAATTTGACGAGCGCTTTTTTGTATATTTTAGTAAAAATAAATTCTTAATGCTAATAAATACATATTACATATATTTAAAGTTTAAAATCCATAAATTGAGGGTAAAATTCAAAAGCCTGGTCATTTGAGATATTTTTAAAAATTGATTTGAAATTCAAATGGTGCTCAGCCGTGCACCCTTACGCCTTCGTTTATAACGTTGCCAAGTCCTAAAATTTGCACGGCAAAAAAGAGTGATTATAAAATTGCATATGCATGAACTTTGTTTATGGGGTTCGCACGGAGAATTGTTGCATATTTTGCATTTTATTACATAATTAAAATGTCACTACCGTTCACTATTCCTCTATATATCATCCTAATGACTAGCGAACATTAAAATAATACAAGAATAATTCATACATACACACATTCCAATATTTTCTTTGAAAGTAGACGTTATTATGTTAGAATGAAACAAATTATAAATCGAACAATGTTTATAAATCTATTTCAGCATCATGCAATTTACTGCTTTGCGTTTTACTTTTTTGTGGGTATTCTTGTTTTTTTTTTCTTTATTATGGATGCGTATTCTCAAATTAAATACATTTTTTGTACTAGTGTGAAATTAACCGACCATTATGATAGATGAAAACAATTATGGAATAATAATGATAAATATTATATGTAGGTATACATTTTGGTTATAAACATGCATACTGGCTATTACTTTTAATTGCAGCAATTCAAATAAATATTATTAAATTCCTTATGTAATGAAAAGGTGAAAATGTAAAAGTCTTCTAGTTGGATATTTTCCTAATTATCATTGCCAAAAATCATATGTTCGAAATTTTTTTGTACACTTGGATATCCAATAATTAGAATATTCAATAACAAATTCGAATTTATTAATATTTTCAAGAATTTTCAACAATTGAATTCTTTCAAAAAATTTCACTAAACGCCTAAAATAGAAAAACAGATAATAAAGATACTGTTAAAATTAAATTAAATTTGTGAATTTAAAAGAAAAAATTATTAATCAGCCCATTTAATAGTGTTAGCTGAACAATAAATAAGATATTAACTACATAATCTAATAATGAATTTAACATGAAATTTTATGTACAAATCAATATCTATGCGAAACAAATAATTTGTTATATGCTACAGAAAAGCCTTAATGCAGAAAAAAAAAAAAAATCCTACAAAATATAATTAAAATTAATAAAAGGACAACATAGAAAATTGACATTAAGAAGAAAATAAAAACGTATAGGCATTGAAACGAATTTAGGAATTATTTGGAAAATGTCATATTATTCGAAAAATCATAGGAAGGTCCTATTTAAAAAACATTGAAATAAAAATATTCGCTTCTTACTATGTGTAATAATTGTTTAGTAAACGTTCATAAAATAACTATTAAAAGTCAAAGTACTATACTGTACTATAACTTCATAAAAGTTTATTATAAAGTAAATGTTTCTGTTAGTAGTGAATTAAACAAACTTACGCGTAGAAAACTTTTTTAATTCAAAAAAAAAATCGTCTCGCTTCGTAATGGCACTTTCTCGCGCACGTGCTGACCCGGCAGTCCGAGATTTCTTATGTCATGTGTTATTGTAGTCCGTTAGGAACGACATTAAATTCCACTTATTGGTTTTGTTACGTTGATTTTCGAGTATTATTGCATTTGCACACCTGTCAAATGCGTTCGCGAACACGCGACGATTCGGGACGCCCGTACCTCAAAACGGCAGCCCCTTCCGTGAACAAAATTGCCAGCTAATAATAGCGAAGATGCGTGAACATTTCGCGCCTAGGTGCCAAACCCATTAACAACTTCTCCCGCTTTCTTACCTAACTGTCCGATCGAACGTTTCAGAAACGGACGTTAATAAATTTTGGGAAACCAAGGTTGCTAA